CTTAATCAAATAATCTATAGTCAAATATGTTTTAATGGAGTGATGTCTGTAATGGGAATGCTCACTTTTTACCATATGGTTTACATTAATTTTCCATTCGGTCCAATCAAAAGTGTGGACTTTCTAATCACATGGTCGATGCTCCAATAAAAACATAAACATATTCGGACAGACTTGCAAATGATGTATTGGTATTTCAGAAAGTATGATGTTGAAGTATTAGGAGTTGAATCTGAAAATAGTAAATGTCTCATGAGACGGGGAATTATGAATGTAACACTATATGTGTAGTTTTAAAGTTTCAAATTGAAAACAGCTGACTTTGTATCAGTGCTCAACTTTTACATGTGTTTTATTTTAAGTTTAGTTTTGAAGTAAATATGTTTAGGAAAATGTATTGTCATGAGTATGAATCAACTTCTTTATAAACAACACTTAGGGAAGACTTAAAATGACATGAAAAGATCAAGAATTGAAACAGATCAACACATATGAAATACCACATCTTCTACAGCACTTTTCCACTTTCAAGGCACTCAAAGCACTTTAAAGCAAGAAACCACTCACCCATCCACACACACATTCATGCACAAGTGTACACAGACACTAGCAGCAAGGAGGGTTAAGTGTCTTGCCCAAGGACACAACAACAGCATTCATCTGTAGGTGCTGGAATTGCACCGCCAATCTGTGGGTCAGTGGATCTGACAGCTCAACCAATGATGTGTATGAAAGCAGAATTTGAAATGTCAACCTTTCAGGGGCAGTTCTTGGGGAGGGGCCACGGAGGCCCTGGCCCCGCCTCTAATCTGATTGGCCCCCTGAAGATCAGTGTCAATCAACTGGCGAGAAGAATAACCATAGAATTCAATGGTCACTAATGCAGTTTCACAAACAAACTCTTGGTGGCAGTAGACCTATTGCGTCAATACAACTTAATGGGAGAAGAAACAGACCTGTGGAGGGCTTTGTTTTTACTGTCTATGCTTGTATTTGCACTGTACTGAATTAATCATTTGTGTGCTTGGATGTACCCTCTACTTGGCCCCTGAATGTAACATGTGGTCCCTTAATGGCCCCTGTTTCAAAAAAATCCTAGAACTACCTTCAGATCAGTGGATGAACACACTACCACACTCGACCTGTCGCCACAGGGTATATTATTTTAAAAATACTAGTGTTACAATACAATACAATCACTTTATTTGATTCAATGCTTTGTGTTGTACTGACTTTGTCCCTCTCTGTACCATTCAGGGAATTCTTCAACGTTTTATTGTGCCCATAGTTTAAAACTGAGCTGCTGTTTTAATGCTCAGGGTTATGTTTAAAATATCTGATTATTGGGACTATCCACTCTAAACAAAAACTGCTCCAATGTCAGTCTCTTCTCTCACAGCACAAATAAACCAAAGTGGAATTTTGTGTTTGCTTGTTTGTTTTTGATATGGCTTCAGCAAATGGTCCCATTGTTCAACATCAAGACAAGATTGTTGTCATCTGAAAGGACTTTAAGCCTTAAGATTAATAAAGCAAGTCTGTGGAGTTAATTTGTGACAAACAATGAAAAGGTTAAACAATTGTGAATTTTCAGTTTGGTTATTTCATCCCAAAACAGTAAATCTGAAAATATGACGCCATCAAGTTCTATAACATGAACACAATCTAATCTAGGACTGTCGCCATAACTATTAACCATTCAAATCTAAAATATAAAATCTTTTGAATGGCCAAATGTCCTCAAAATTGCGCCATATTACAGATAGCTGAAAAGCCTGACCTGTACTGACCCCGTGTTCCTTCCAAACTCAATATTTAAAACAAAAAAAAAACAAAACCTAACCAAACAGCCTCTCCTCCTGTGTTCGCGTGCACAGTTTGATGTAACTGTGAGTAATAAGAATATGTCTGTGCCAAGGGCAGACTCAAGGTCCCTGTGCACCGCTCCTTTAATAGTGGCGCATTAAAAGGTGCTGTGCTCATTACAAGTGCGGGACACGTATACAGTCTTTTCGGGGACCAAAGAGGAGTGATGCAAGGCCCTATCAAGCACAGGCAGCCCCAGCATCTCCACAGGTGACCGGGCAGGCTTCAAAGTACACCCCACTCATATCGGGAGGACGGGGGAGGCCAGCCGCTGCCTCTCTTTGCGGGTGATGTTGAAAAATGGAGAATTGGTGATTAGAAGAATGTATTTAGTTTATTCGAAGGTTTGTGTGCTGAAAAATGAAGATTTGTTGATGCAATGTGCGCCTGGAGTTCAATAGTGTATGCTCCACAGGCAGAGGAGCCAGGGGGATCTAATGGTTTTGGGAAGTTTGAGCTTTGTAGTTTTGTTTTCTTCGGTGGTGTGGCCTCTGTGTTTGGTGTAAACATTTAAATACTCACAAGGCCAATACACTAGCTTTTCCTTTTGACTGCTAGGTAGCTTTCAAAGCCATCATTCAGGTTAGAAACACTCTACACCAGGGGTCTCCAACCTTTTTCTTCCAGTGAGCTACTTGTACAAAACAAAAATGCCAGAGAGAAACTCATCTTAACAGCCACAAGAAATTTAGACGATTATAAGAAAGAGGGCAAGCCTTGGGGTAGAGTTAAATGCCTATAAAACCTAAATCATTGTCCATTTATTAGTGCACAAAGTTGGGCCTCAATAGGGATGAAACAATAACCGAAATATTGTGATATCTTATCGTCAAAAGTCTCACAATAATATCATGAGCTGTCACAATATATCAAATTACAAGTTCCTTTGCTTAAATTCATGCGTTTATAGCAGCAACAGCTTATAAACATCAGGAACTACATATCCCATGATTCACCTCAGTGCAGACAACATGAAGAAATAGGTTTTTTACTTGAATTCTTGGGATTATGATGGAAATAATTCACACCAAAATCATGTCTATCTTAATATCTTAAAGATATTTTAAAAGCAATAAAGTGTCCTATCTACAATTATATTAGCCTCTTCAAAATATCACTATAAATATCGTACCGTGAGATGCGTATCGTGATAAAATTGTACTGACAGATTTGGATATCGTTACATCCCTAATTTGCAAAAGTAATAGGTATGTTATTTTTGTTATTCAGCTTAATTCCAAAATCCCTTGGCAAGCTACTTGGAAAAGGGTGGAGAGCTACAGGTTGAAGACTCTTGCTCTACGCCTTTTGTGTGTTAAAGGTGCATTATGTAACTTTTCGAGTGGAGGGTCCATCACCTGCTTGTTTGTTTGCTATGTTGATATGTCATTGCCCTACCTGGAATGTTACACAGTATGACATTAAACAGCTCAACCTTACACTTATTCAATTACAGGTGGTTTTATAGTTCAAAAATACTTCGAAAAACAGGCATTCTGACTGTGAACGGGTCGCCTCTCCACAGATCTGACCTGTAACTTGGTCTGGTTTTGTCTCCATGATGACAGAAAGGTTAAATACCACACTGTGAAACATTCCAGACAAGGCAATAACATTTCCAAAAGTTACACAATGCACCTTTAAATACTCACAAGGCCAATGAACTTGCTTTTCATTTTGATTGTTGGATAGTTTTCAAAGGCATCATTCACATTGGAAACACTTTTCTTATATTAACAATGGAGCTCAACAGTGACTCTTTGAAACATTTAATTATTAAGAGTTCAGAGGCAGCTCCATGCTAACTAATATCCATAACGCAGTAGTTTTAAACCCAAAAAGCATGTTTAAAATGCAAGAATCTGAAAAATGCTTTAATAACTTAGCGGTTTCTAACATTTCAGAAGCAGATTTCAAATAAAATTATAGGTCTTGTGGTCATTAGTTACCACATAGCTGATTAGCCCCGAGCAAGCTTTCTGTTCAAGCTTTCAAACTTTTAATTTTTTTATTTTTTTTGTTCCAGAACCGGGAGGTGGGCAGTCACTGTTGAGCTCCATTGTCAGAGTTAAAATTTTAAAACAACTCTCTTATTTTTGTCAGTGAAATTATTATATTTAACTATCTTTTCTAGACAGTTTCTGTGGTTTTAATCTCTATTTAAAGCTACCATCTGTTTAAGTTTATTTTTTTATTTTTTTCACCATTTTGGCAGATGTGAAACCTGTTCCCCTCTCATCTCATCTGGCCTTTGTTCAGCCTCACCTGTGCTCTGTGCTCTTCTTTTGTCAGGCCAAAACTTATTAACCAGGCTGCTGCTGTTAGTGCCTCCGCTCAATTTCATTTGTCTCCAGCTATGTCGGAAATCGGAATACACTAGACGGTTTGCAAGAACACCTTTAGTGCAAGTCCGGGCACCAGCCAATCCGCAAAGAGTCATACATTTTGTGTTGGCAATGATTCCTGAGATCGAGAATGGGAAAGAAAACGTGATCGAGAAGCCGGAATAAAGAAAATGTTTGGTGAATTTTATCAAGGGGAAAAACATTATTGTTCTTCTTCCTACGGGATTTGGCAAAAGCTTAATATACCAGTTCACCGCGTTAGCGGCACATTACATACGTCACAAGCAAATACCAGGAATTGGTTAACTAAAAAAAGTACCTGACTACTGTCGAGTGAACAAATTCTAATGCTGCGAGGTCAGACGGTTTCCACAAAGTGAAACCGGTGGATGAATCAGGCTATAAGCTTATACCATCTAGTGATGAAGTGTCACAATACAACACGGGCATGTCAGCCAATCTAATTACAGATGGTAGCTTTAAGAGACAATAAATAAATCCAGAATACTGGCCATTTTTTAGGTGAACCATTAAAGAAATTGAGCTTTTTTTTTTTTCTCTCTTTTTTTGTTGGTGAGACACAACCAGGCGTACAATATTGTTATATCATTTACATCTTAAATGCTCTATAAATCTGTATTCACAAACTTTGCAGCCTGCACAGTTTCTTGAAGTGGTTAACAAAATTGAGCTCTATTACAGAGTGCATAATAAACTCTCAGTGGTAATATTCCACCACCAACACTTCTAAACTTCTCTAATATAATAAAACACAAACTTTTCTCTTACCTTGGTGATCTTGGGGTGAGTGCAGCGGCTGTTCCCAGAGGAAGGATGCATCCAGCCAGGCTCGGACAGGGTGAGGGGCAAGTGGGAGTTGCCTCCGCTGGTGCACTCCTGTCTGAGGGAGCACTTCTTATCCTGAACGCACCAGCCGCACTCGAACCTGGGGTCGGCCTTCAGACACATGCCACAGCTGTCCCGGAGGGCGCGGCACTTGTACAGGTGAGCTGGAGGACACAGAGAGAGGGGTAAGGTCAGAAAAAAGCCACTGATAATTTAGAAGGGGGTGTGATGCTAACTGTAAGCACTGCTCTGTCTGAGGCTTTGATAGACTTTAATCTGAACACAATCTAAACGCAATTTGACCAAAAAGAGCTGACATAGTTGAAACTACAGCAGAAGCATCTTCAGCCTTATTTGACAGGATTTGCTAATGTGTGCATTTTGTCATCATAGCAACTCCTGAATATTGAACCATAGACATACATGTAAAACACCTCCAGCATGATGTCTCTGCAAAGTATCAATATAAAAGTGCAATAGTAAGATTGGTGGGTTTCACGTTCTGAAAAAGGTGTTTGGATTGATTATTACAAACATACTAGAGCTGTGTTTTGTTTCAGTCACATCTTTAAACCACAAGTTCTTCTCTTAAACTGAAAACACTTTGTGCCACCTTGTGATGTCATGTGGTAATACAGAAAGTACTTCACTGTGTTTTTAACCTCTATACACCTTTTATTTGGATCATTTCGGCCCTGGAATTGCCAATCTCGGCTGAACTAAAGGTAAAAGGTGGTTGTTTACTTGAAAACAACCACTAGATGACATCACAAGGTGGAGCAGAGTATTTGGAGCATTGGAGATGTAGACAGACTAATAGTAGAGTCACTCAAACATGTGTGAATCAAACAAAACACAACTCCTGGTTTGTTTTTGAGGAGGTAACAGCATTATAACAAAACTCACAAGACTCTGTTTGGTGTAATATAAGTCCGTGTACCATTTGTTCTTCTGAATTTCAATTAAGAACGAAACAATCAAATGGGAAAACAGTTTGTTATAGTGTCAAACAAAAAACTGATTTCAACCTCTATTTCTAATATTTAATTTCAAGTTTAATTTAAAGTCTTGGTGCCTATTTTAATTTTGATATTTTATTCTCTCTAGTTTATTTGCTCCTGGATGTCCTGCTGCAGTGTCGCCCACGGATCTATAATAACAACTATTTTTTATTATAATTCTATAGAGTCAACTGAACAAAGGAGAGTAATAGCTTCCTGTTTGTCGTCATGGAGTTCAACAATGACTTTCTAAGATGCGAAAGTAAACGTGTCGCTATAAAAGAAAAGGACTTGTTTGTCCACAAAATTGCAACGATTTTTCAAATAAGTCCATCTAGCAGCAGAACTTCTGGGGCAAATAAACCAGAGAGAATCAAATATCAGAATTAAAATAGTTCCCTAGACCGTTTTTTGATTGGTGTTACTTGAAAACTTTAAATTAAATATTGGAAATTGAGGTCAAAATCTGTTGTTTGTTAATAATGAAGAAGAAAGAAAGAATAATGAAATGACAAACTGTTTTCCCATTTTATTGTTTTTCGTTCTTAATTGAAATTCCTATATAGGACCTTTAATTCTAAAATACATTTTTGAAAGGCAAAAATAAAAATCGGATTGCTTTTTTTAAATTCACAACTTTTTGGGAGAAGTCTATACAAAGTAATCAAAAGTTGTATTATGTCTGAGAATTGGAGCAGCAGCGTACATGAATCTTAACCACCCCAAGTCTGCCGCTGCCAGGACCAGAAGAGAACTGCTTTTTCCCGATAAACACAAACGCACCATGCCACCTACGGCTATATTAGAGAAAGTAATTCAACAGGTTATGTCTTCTAATGCCAATGGGGATTTGATCATTTGAATCTTCCTCCTCTTCCGCTTCTCTTTCCTTTTCCAACTCTACCTCATTTTAACCTCCCTTCTCTCCTTTCTCTTCCTCTTAAAAAATAAAAAATACAATATTCCCCTTGACTCCACTGTGGGAAAAGTCATTAAAATTGTAAAATGAATGGGTAATTTTGTATGTGTGTAAATATTGTAAAAACAGCTGAGATGAAAGGGAGCAGAGGGAGGGGCAGAGCGGAGCACAGCGTGTTAACAAAGTACGAACAAGGAGGATTCTACTTGTTCTTATAATTAATTTGAATTTCATTATAACGAAGATTTGAAGAGATTTGTTCAGCTTTTTGCAATTTTGTATCACTTTCTTGCAGACTCAAAGGTGTAGATTGCATTACCATTTAATTATTATATTATGAGATTAGATTTACAGATAAGGACACACTGCCTTTGTGTCCTTAGGCAAAACACTTAACCTATACTACTCTCACAGTCTCATTACCCTGGGATATATACAACAGGATAGTACTGAAATAAATTATCTTAAATTAAACTAATATCATAGATTTTGAAAGAGAAAACCTAATTTACTCATTTATAAGCAATGCAAAGTAATAGTAGTAGATTCTGCTGGTTCCTCCTGTATGTAGTAGTTTTACTTTTACTTACTTACTTACTTACTTAAAATTACAAAAAAAAAAAAAAAAAAAAAAAAAGTGTAATTTTTAAATTAATTAATTAATTATTATTATTATTTTTTTTTTTGGTATGAATAAATTAGAGGTTATTTGAAAAATTCCAAGCAACTGCCAGTTTCACATCAGCCTCACACTTTCTTTTTTCTCTCCCTCCTCTCCTTCCTTTACCTCCTTTTCCTCTTTTTACTCCTCCCTCCTCTTCCTCCTTTCTTTCCTCATCTTCTTCTTTCCCTCATCTTCCTCCTCTCCCTCCTTTTCTTCCTCTCTCTTCTCCCTCCTCTTCCTCATCTACTTCTTTTATGTCCTTTTCCTCACATCCCCTCTTCTTCCTCCTCCTCTTTTCTTCCTCTACCTCCACTTCCTCCTCTTTTTCCTCTTCCTCTTCATTCCCTTCTCATCTTCATTCCCCTCCTTTTGCTCCACTCCTTTTTCTTCCTCATCTACTTCCTCTACCTCCCTGTCCTCACCCCACCCTTTCCTCCTCTCCCTTCTTTTCCTCCTCTCTTTCCTCTCCCTCATCTACTTCCTTTACCTCTTTTTCCACCCACCCCTCTTCCTCCTCTCCCTCCTTTTCCTTTTCTCTCAGCTCTTACACCTCCCTCCTTTTCCTCCTTTCTCTCCTCTTCTTCATTCCTCTCTTTTCTCTTTCCTCTCCCTCATCTACTTCCTCTACCTCCTTTTCCTCACACCCCCTCTTCTTACTCTTCTTCTTCTCTTCCTCCACTCCTTCCTCTTTCTTTCTCCCCTCTTTCCTCTTCCTTCCCTCTTCTTCTTCATTCCCCTCCTTTTTCTTCCTCATCTACTTCCTCTACCTCCCTGTCCTCACTCTCCTCTTCCTCCTCTCGCTCCTCTTCCTCCTCCCTCCTACTTCATCTACCTCCTTTTCCTCATACCCCCTCTTCTTCCTCTTCCTCTTCTCCTTCCTCTTCTTCTACCTCCACTCCCTCCTCTTTCTTCCTCGTCTCTTTCCTCTTCGCTCTCCTCCTTTCCCTCCTTTCTCTCGTCTCCTTCCTCTCCCTCATCGACTTCCTCTACCTCCTTTTCTTCACACCCCCTTTCTTCCTCCTCCTCTTTTCTTCCTCTTCTCCTTGCTCTTCTTCTACCTCCACTCCCTCCTCTTCTTCATTGCCCTTCTCTTCCTCCTCTCTCTCCTCTCCCTCATCTACGTCCTCTACCTCCCTGTCCTCAGAGCCTATCTTCTTCCTTCTCCTTTTTTCTTCCTCCTCTCCTTCCTCTACTTCCTCCTCTCCTTCCTCTTCCTCTTCATGGTGGACTTCAAACGCATTGCCCTGGCTGTCTCCATCTGTCCGCAGCAGCTCTTAATCAGATTATCCACGGGCCGGTCTTAAAGGCAGCGCCGTGCTAATTAATCTGAAGCAAATGAATGATTGAATTAACAGGAACATCTCAAGTCTAAAGCGGGGCCGAGCTGCTGAGCCTCAGACGACTAAAGGAGTTCACAAAGAAAAGACAAGCAGCGTGAAGAGGAGGGATTACCACAGAGGAGGAGGAGGAGGAGAGGAAAGAGGAGGAGAGTTAAACCAATGAATATGGTTTATAACGCGCCTGTTCAGAAGTGTGGAGTCTCCAGCACACTAAACACTAAAGCAAGCGTCTTATCATGTGTTTAAGTAGAAATGTATATTTATGTAGTCTGGGTTTATTCCTCACACCCACAGATATGTTAGCTGAACTTATAATTTTAACTTTCCTTAGTGAGACAATACCCAGTATAGCTGTCCTGGTTGCTGACTTTATGGCTCTATAAGGTTTTAAGAGGTATTAACTATAAACAACACATTCATCATTAGGGGTGTAATGATTTCCAAGTCTCACGATACGATATCGTCATGGTATGAACCTCACGGTATGATATTTATTGCGATATCATGGGAACGCTCACGATATGGTGGGGAGGCTCACGATTAAGGATGTAACAATATCCAAATCTCTCCGTATGATATTTTCACAATATACATCTCAAGGTACGATATTTATTGCGATATTTTGTGGAGGCTAACAAAACTGTTAATATGCTACTTTTTCCTCTTAAAATGACTTGACAAGACAATCCAAAGAATTTAGACTATGTTCAAACTGCAGGGCTTAACGCTCAATTTGGATTTTTTTTGTGAAATTTGATGTTTTTGCAAGGTCATTCACATTTCCAATTAAATGCGACTTGTATGTGATCTCCAGTGTGAACAGTAAACGGCCCAAAAGTGTCCCGCATGCTCACTGGAGGACACGACGACGTCAACCGCAGCGAGTGTGCTCTGTGTTTACGGAAGTTGCCTAAACATGGACAGGAGCATTTGAGCACCTGGAGATTTTAAAGTTCCTCTCGTACCAAAGCCAGAACATGTACAACTTACTTGTTTTAAGGAGGAGATTGAGAAGGAGAAGGACGAGGTTTTTGGTTGTGGCGTTTTGTGGGACAGTGGCAGCAAGGTTCCGTTGAAAGGAACGTGTGGATGCGGAGATGTAGCCAAGAGTGGTGAGTGGCGATGTGCTTCGCTTCAGTGACACAGAGTTCATTAACAATTTTCACCTACTTCAGCTCAGAATAGTGATGTTTGTTGCTTGTTGATAACGTGTAGGTCGGATGAATGCGCTTTGGCCGTT